ACTAGTTCCAGCCGGACTAGTCCGGCAAATAGGTCGGTTTTTGGTCGATCTGGCTTTTTTCGCGGACTAGTCCGCTCGCTTTTGCGGACTGATGACGGACTGTCCAGCCGGACTCTTTGCGGACCGAAAACGGACTGATGCCGGACTAAACTTTTTCGTACGGGTAGTTCGCATTAGACCAGTCCGTGGACTCGCAGTCACTTCTTTGAATACCAACAGCAAGAAATCCGGCAAAAGTTTTTAACGACTTCTTAGCTACAGCCACCAGTCACACCCAGACGACGAATACACCCAGACATCTGGATTTATTCCTACTGTTAGAGGCTAGTTAAAAAATGTGACATCGGGCCCTCAGGCTGGTCCTGTGAACTGTCCTGTGACTTTGACATGGCAGGGGGTACAATTCAATTTCAAATTTCAACGACTCCGCGCAACCACAGAGAAATCTTGGCCGACGCAAACGAATGCAGGCCGAGGAGCACTGCCGGGGTCCAGAGAAGAGGATGGGGGAGAGAGGAAGCACGCAAGAGACGTCGTCAGTGACGGGCATACATAATACGTACCCAGCGCTCATTGGCACCTCACCTCGGGAGGAGGAAAGGAAGGGGCGGGGGGGCTTACCCTGCGGGGGGTACCTTGCCGACTGAGTGTGTGTGTGTGATTGTGTGGTGTGTGTGAGTGTATACGACGCGCACGCCGCGTGCCTGCACGACGCAGCCTGTGCGATATACTTCCCCGTCGTCCTCTTCCTCCCCTTTGCTCCTCCTACCCGCCCCCCTGTGAGGGAGAACCGATGGGGGAAGCAGCAGAACACCGACCGCGGGGGCCCAGCCCAGCACTATTGGCAGTGTCACTCACGCGGCCCTTTGGCTGCTGCTGCTGCTGCTGCCGCCGCTGCTGCTAGGAAGTCTGCGAATAATAACGAGCCGTTAACGAGCTGCGAATAGCGCGCTAGCCCGGGCTGCTGCTGCTGCTGCTGCCGCCGCTGCTGCTAGGAAGTCTGCGAATAATAACGAGCCGTTAACGAGCTGCGAATAGCGCGCTAGCCCGGGCTGCTGCTGCTGCTGCTGCTGTGGATATAATTGGCGGTGGCGCCATGAGCAGCCCCTGCAGGCCCCGGCCCAGGCCCCGGCCCGGGGCACCACATACCAGATGTGGCCCGCGGATAACGGCGATAGCGATAGGGCGGAACGGGGTGCATGGCGTCCTTGGCGGGGCGGGGCGGGGCGAGCTGGGGCGGCTCAACAAACATTAGGGGCGGCGCCAGGCGCCAGCGACGGAATGATGGCCAGTAATGTGTAAATGTAATGTGGCCCACCTTTGCGGTCATCATGTCCCACCAAAACTGGCACAAAAGGCAACACCATAACCGACGCCAACGAACGGGACAGTAACGCGGGGTGTTGCTGGATGCAACGCGCTGCCCTATACTAAATTATATACAGCATACGTAGTTTTCATAAAATTTGGCAGAGGTTGGCCGTGAGTCGAGATACACACACACACACATACACACACACTCACTTACATACATAGTGCTGTAAAATAAACAACTTGGTTGATGTTTGCTTAGCGTGATAGCACATGTGAAGGCGAGCAGTCTGAATAAGAGTTGTTTTAAAGAATGGAGAGAGAGAGAGATAGAGAGAGAGGTTTTACTGTAACGGATAAATAATGCGTGAAAGGTGTGAAAGCAAGCAGCGATTGGCTCGCGCGTCGCCTCCGGGGGTACGAGAGGAGGGAGGGGCAAGGCGTGCGTGCAAAAGATGCATCGCGCAGCATCTCGAAGCGCAGTCATGTCACGTGGTAGGCGACACGCGCGTTCTGCACGCACCACGAAGGCGCCGCCGCTCGACAGGAAGAGCGAGGGAGGGAGAGAGAAGAGAAAAAAACAACAGAGAAACTACTGAAAAACAAAACAAAAAACAGACTAAACGGGACCTTCTTGCAACGGTGCGAACGTGTGAGGGAGGCAGCGCCGGCCTGTAAAGGCGTACCCGCCTAAACCACTTAGCATGCGTTTGTCGCATCCCATATACCTTTTCTACTCAAACCTACAGCCAACAGCAGCAGCAGCAGCGACCGACGCAAAACACCAAAAGTTCCCGAATGTCAACCGTATACTGCTTTTCTTCCGACTCGAGGCGAAAGGAAAGAGATGCGCTTTCGGCAGCAATAAAAGAATCACATACGGCAGCGAACCGTCCCGGAGAGAAGCACGACGACACGCTGAGCCAAAGCCAGCCCGGCGAGCAACGCGCCGGCTCGCAGAGGCTCACCGTACTGACCGGAGATAACGAACCGTGTGGGAGTACGTGCACACCGATGGGTGCCAGCAGGTGCTAAACGGCGTGCGGTGTGCTACACCACGAGCTTCCAGAGGTGTGCTACTGCAGGTGCTTCCAGACGTGTTACCAGCAGGGGGTGCTACTGGACGTGAATCCAAAGAGGTAGAGATACTGGAGGTGCTACACGAGGAGCTACGCAAACAGGACAATAAGGGCTTGTAATTGCCACATGCAAACAAAAACCTTTTTATTTCAAAGCCAGAGCGCGATATTTCTATACTTTGCTTTTCGCCCGATACGGGTCGGCGGCACGCACACGCACGGTTCTTCTTCCTTTCCATTGTCGCTGCTGCACCGCACTGCTCTCTGCGGAGGGCAGTGCATGACCTCGACGCGGGCACACCACGGCGACGTATGCGCCACCCAAGTCGCGCGCGCGCGCGCGCACACAGGTGGACCGGGCGGGAGAAGAGGGGAGTGGGGGGTGGG